TGCAGGGTAATCTCAGTGCTGAACAGATTGCAGACCAAACTCTTTGTAATCCAGAGCTTGATCCAGCATCACTTTGTCCTGCTGAGTGAAAGGGAGGTAAGCATCAGCCGGGTACCTGAGCTTTTATAATGGGTTGTACAGGTTTGTTTGCTGATAAGTCTCAAGGGAAACAAATAACTCAGGAAGAGTGTCTTAAGACAAGTAGAGGAGACTGCTAGGAGTTGCAGTGCAGTGATGCTGGGGTTAGAGCAGAGACACCCAGTCCAGCCCAGCAGCTGATCTGTGTCTTTGGCCAAGGCAGGATGCCTGGGAATAGCAGGAGGCTGGGGAAAGCCCAGCATGCCCATCCCCTAACCTGATCACCCTTCTACCACCAGCACATCACAACTCAGATATTTCTTGGTCACCTTTGTGGCTTTAAGCAGCTAAGGCCACTCAGAGTCCCAGGTCATGTCACTGGTGACCTACTCCCATATTTATTAGCACCTTTTCCTCTTAGGCAGGTCAGAGGCAGGGACCAACACATAACACAAGCATCCTTATTGACTTTCCTGTTACTGCGTAGACAGTTCACGGAAAAAAACTAGCTTTGTTGCTGGAGGTGGGGGGGAGGATCTCCAGCCTTCTGGAGATCATATGCTGTGTGGGGGGACATATGCTGGGTAGTTGTCTGACATTGGACCAAGCCATTGGTACTAGCAAGGATTTTAATCAAGGCTGTGAAAGTTCCAATTTTGGCTAGTCTCCAGAAAATCATGGCAAAGAGAATGGAGAACAGCATGGAAAAGAATATATAGTCTGCATTCTGCTCATTGTGCGTGATAACCAGCAGTCAAGCAGCACTGGGGAGGGCCACACAGTCACCTTCTCAGTAAGGCATGTACTTTTTTTTTTTAATTCACTGTTTGTAACCAGTGGATGATGCACCATATTCAAGAATCACTTTGCTGGTAAGGAATAACTTTTGCTACCTGTTTCTTTAAGTCCTGCTGGAAAGCTACAAATCAGCTTAACAACTACAGTTATGTTTTGTGTCCTTCTGAGTGTTTTATCTGGTCCCAAAGAGTTTATCATTTAGTGCAAAGAGGACAGTGACACACAGCACAACTCTATGGGACGTCACGGCTGCAAATAGCCTTGTAAAACAATGTTGTGGAAAGTGAGTCTAGTGGAATTTTCTTCTTTCAGTTCTTCAACTCTTTGAGTGGAGAGCACCTTCACTGGGAAGCTGTGTGTAAAATGTGGATGCTCCAAATCCCAGCCTCAGCCTCCTGAAGCAGGACGAGCAGACAGGCTGCCTGTAGGTGTCAGACTCGGACTGTGCAGCAGCATAAACACAAGTCAGGAGCAGGTGGGGTTTTGGTTTTGGTTTTTAATCAAGGCAACTTCGCATCTCACCTGTTTAATTTAAAAATTAAATCTCAAGTTTGCTCCTGTTCTTGCCAATCGAAAGAGGGAGAACTACAAACATACTGCTACTGTTTCCCACACCTGTTTTTCTTTCTCAGAAATATTTGCATTATAAGTAAGTTTTAAGTGATCAAAACTGTGTACTCTGCAACCACCTCAAGGCTCCAGTAGCACAAATATTTTCAGCCTTCTGCCTCCTCATATGTTCATCATTTATTCTGCTTCACCACTGCAATCAGGCTTACAGCGAAGGACACACACACTATCAAATGTAACAGACCTCACAAACTCAAAGATGTCACACCTTCCCTCAGAATAAGAGAACTGAGAAAATCTAGAGTCTTGCAATATGATGCTGCTGCTGCTAATTATAAACAACAGTTTAATATAGAAGAGTTTGTTACAGAAACCTACTAAAAGAGAAGGGCCAAAGGCTATTAATTACCTGAGAATTTGACACTGCTCTATTTTCATGGAGGGGTGTGGGGCAAGTGGTACTTGACCGCACAATTAAAAAGTGACAGAAGGAGGGTAGTGAATACCTTTCAGAGGCAGTAAGTGTGAAGGCAGTTCTACACAGGTCAGCTAACTAGGGGAAAACACTGAAACCTACTGGCTTAATTACAAAATAGGGGAGACTATGCTGAGACTAACAATTAATTACAAGCTTCACAGGTTAAATTTGGTTAAGCAAATTTAATATTAAGTAGCTAAAAGACAGAATTAAACCTGCCTTAAGTTTATTAATACCAATGTAAGACATAGATGCATTCACATTACTATTGCACACATTGCTTTCTGGCAAACTGCAGATTACAGAAAGTTACCAAGTTCAAAACAAACTTCTGCTTGTGTGCGACCCAGGGATGGAGGCCATTCATGTAGGAGACAGATAAAACATGTACTTAGCAATTCAAAGGATTACTAGGTACACTTTTACATCGCTCCATTTTTGGCATAAATTCCAGAATTTTCAAAATTAAAAATCTGTTTCATGTGGTGCTCTGAAGTGAGCAGGAATCCTGTGAACATGGAAAGGCAGCTTGGATACATAGAACTGCACATACAAATCACTCTGGATGAAAACTTAGAATACAGATTTTCACCTACCTCTGAACAATGCACTGTCCTTCAAGAGCAGAGGCACAAGTTCACCTCAGTCAATGAAATAATGAGTTTCACCGAATTCATGAATTGCAGGGGACAGAAGCCAATCCTGGTAACCTCTAAAAACCTAACACAATTCTTGAAAAACAACCCAACCAACCAAAAAAACCCCCCCATAAAACAACATCCTCTAAATTTCTAAAAGCTTTTAAAACCACTTTGTTGTAAAAATAATGATCCAGGGAGTATTCTGTGGTAAGAATATTTTATATATTTTTTTTTACACTTTTAACACTTACAAAAACATTCAAACACAAAAAAAAAATTAAATAACTTTGGGAGCAGAACAAATCCTTCTGCCTACACACACATCAATTCCAAGCTGTTGGCACGAAAAGTAATCCACATTCATAAAACCCTTACTACTATATCAAACATAAGTTAAGTAAATCATAGGCACTATTTTATCAAATCCATATTTCCACAATTCTGCAGTAAATCTCTAAACACAGACCCCCAGGATTTCCTGATATCAATAAACTGGTAATGCACAAAGGCTTTCTAGTAAACAGTCTGTCTTCTCAGGAAGTCATTTGCTGTATTTCGGGGGCAACAGCAGAGGAAAAAAAAAAATCCTTATAAAACTGAGGCTGAATTTGCCCAAACGATGAATTACTTAACTTAAGGAAACGTACACAAGTTTGGTGCAGCCATGGTAAAACCCCAATATCATCATCCAAACTGACTTTGAAAATTTAAAAGTCAATCAAGTGTTTGATAAAATCCACCAATTAAGTTCATCTTCCCTCAATGAAGACTGCAGCATTGCTTTGCAAAATGCTGAAATATTAAAATTTGGGCTTTAGGGAGAATGTGCACATGTGGTCTAGGCCTCTCTTCTGCAGAAGGGTGGCATGAGATCCTGACATTCATGCTCTGTGCCAGTGGATGGCTCAAGGCTAAATCAGTGATATGTACTGCTCTACACTGGTGCAAGGTAGTCTCTGCTGAAATCTGACTGAATTACAGTATATCTGATACCCTGACTACAAAGTCTTAGCACAGACCTTGGTCTGGGGTGTGAAGTCATTCATCAACCCAAAGTTTGCTTGAGTAGTTAGAGCTGCAAATTAGTCTTCACTCCTTCCTATTTGGTTTCTTCCAAGTCAAGTAGTATTGCATGGCTTTTCATCCAGGAATATGTTAATGTTGGCCTAAAATTCAAGTGCTAGAATTTCAGGACTGGTTATCCTCTTAGTGGTGGAAGTCAAAATACACCAGCAGTCTCAAACTCAGATACTAAAGGGGTTGAAGGCTACCTACCATCCAATGCAACTTGTAGTGTTTGTCAGTCATTGCACAAAGGATATACCATTCACATTCTCTTACTTCATCAACTGTACATCCAAAATACTGAAAAAGCTTCAAACAAAATCCCTTCCATTTAACTAGTCCCACCCAATACAACTTTAGTTACACGTTTGCATGATGTCTGCCAAAACAGAAAACAATGGTTCAAATGCTGAATATATCAGTTGTTCTGAGCAAAACATGTTAGTCAGAGCCACCAGAGGAATTTAATAGCTTGTAAACAGACACAGCAGGTTTCATACTCTGTTACCAGTAATGTAAGATACACATATGTAAGGCAAAGTACATATTTAAACACACTTACATGGGCAATACCTTCTGTAAAAATATTTACAATTTAAAATAAACCAATTTAAGAAATGGATGAAAGTAAAAAAATAGGATACAGAAAACTCCCTCATACCATGGAACATCACCTAAATGAATATCATTTGGCATCAAGAGTCAACTCATTTCCTTAAAATTTGTATGTTACAAGTGCATAGTTGTGTTTCCTTCTCCTTAACTATCAGCATTTACAGTTGCTGCAGGCTGCAAGCATAGTGGTATGGTATTAGAACAAATTATCACTTGCTCCTTCCTTTGTAAGGAAACCTGCTGTTAAAAAAGTTTTCCCCAAATAGTGAGCCATGTGTTAAAAATGTGGCTACAATAGTGAAGGCCATCTTTCCTGAGCCAGGAACTTTAAGGTAAGAAAGATTGTACGACTGATACGAAGCCCTTTTGGCAATTAAACATGTAAGAGCATGTAAAGCCAATAAATCAACATAGGAAAGATGCAATCTATACTATTGCATTTGTGTGTGTCTGCTACATTCAAACTTTGTAAGGTGATCAAAGCCTACGACTCGCTGTCCTGCCTAATCCTCCGGAGTCACTGCCGATTCTTCCTGAAGGATGTACATCCCACCTCTGCCAATCACAATCTCATGCAATTGTTAAAAGCAACCTTTTCCTAGCACTGTAGCAGTCTGCAACCAGAGCATTAGCTCTGACTGATGTAGCCTTGTTCCAATAGTACATATTCACCAACCTTTCTGCTGAGTTAAAACAGGCTGAAAATGAAGTTTTGGACAATGTACTTTGACAGTTATCCTTGCTGTTTTTCAAGATGGGCATTTCTTTGGCATTTGTTAGGTTTTTGCCCACACATGGCCACTCTCATATTGATACGTTTTTAGCAAGCAAGAAAAAACCCCCAGAACTGATAGCAATCTAACGTAGAAGTGATTGTATGACCACCAAACATCTGATGTTAGATGTCATTAAAGTGCTGCTTCATAATCTCTGCCAGTTTGTGCTAATTAGAGACAGAGAGGTTTGGAATTTTTACAAATCCCAGAAGTCACATCTGAACAGTTTGTATAATCAAGCTGTCTTTGAGCCTGGTGAGGAAGCATCCAAGAGCACTGGAACTTTGCATTAAGCTTTACAGTTCAGTAGCAGCCATCTTTCCAACTCTCGTCTTTCACGTTGCCATAGGTTTTGGGAGTGGGTAATGATCTAAAACAAAATGAGATATTTTTTTAGTTTCATAAATAACTGCTGAAGTCTCCATCTGCAATACATAAGAATTGAAACATTTGATAAATTGCTGAAATACACACTTCACTCATTTATTTCTCTGCAATAGTTCATTGAAGAGAAACCCCAAAGTATTTTCAATTTCACATTGTATGTGTTGTATCTTGGCAACTACCATGTCAGAAAAATGGTTGAATAAATACACAGAAAACATAGTGCTGTTATACTCTGCGAAAATAGAAACTTAATCTGCTGCCACCTAAACCAGGCCATTTTTTTCAGTGATGTATATAAACAGGGAAATCCTTGCTTAGATCAGAATCTTGACATTTATAGATACTTCATTATTGCATTGTGTACAGATTCTGCACTATAGGATCACAGAATTGTTTAGGTTGAAAAAGACCTTTAAGATCAAGTCCCACCACTAACCCAACACTTCCAAGTCCATCACTAAGCCACATGTCTAAGTGCCACTTCCACATGTCTTTTAAACACCTCCAGGTGTGGTGACTCCACCACTTCCCTGGGCAGCCTGTTCCAATGCCTGACAACCCTTTCAGTGAAGAAATTTCTCCTAATATCCAATCTAAACCTCCCCTGGTGCAACCTGTGGCTGTTTTCTTTTGTCCTATGTAAGCAAACTTTCAAAAAAATGCAATAAAAGCAATTGTAGAAGTTTAGTAAGTGAAACACTTCTATAAAACAAGCTGTGATTTGGACAATCAAACTTCACTGCTATTAACACCTTCCTGTCACATTCTGTCACACTTCCCCTTCAGTGAAAATTCCCATTCACAGTTAATACTTGGTCTCTCTTGCAGCTGTTTTCCAAAAGACACTGATGTTAAGCAACTTCTACAGCTGGGTGCTAGCACAGAGGTTATGTTTAAGCTGAAAATTCTGGTTACTGCACTGATTTTTATGTTAAGTTCAGCAGATGCAATGGTTGTCTCCTCTGTCCTCATGTGTCTTCCTTCTGGAAGTTTCTAGCTCCCCAAGGACAGAAACTGTTCTCACCATGGTACCACTGCTTGAGTTACGGAGGGAAAATAATTCTGACTTCAGAATGTGTCACTCAGTGCCACAAGTGAATTTTCACTTGCCAGCTATATTTTGATAACTTTTTACCACATGCAGACAAAGTCTTTCTGCCTTCTCAATCCAGACTAAGACTTTATTTACTTAGTAAAGTATCTTTAGTCATTAATTTCACTTTCACTCCTTCACTTTCACTAAGAACCTTTTTCTCTCACTTTGGATTCAAAACTATTTTGGAAACACAGGCAAATACTCCACATGATCTCCATTTCTGTTCTGAAGACCCTGAGATCAATATAAGGACTGCAGAAAGGAGGAGCACAAACACTCAGTGTACCAAATTCATCATGACAGCTTCAGACAGAGACTGCCTGTCACATACCTGCGAACAGGCTGTGCAAGTTTGCTGCGAGGCACTGGGATGCCCCCTGAGGCAGGGGCACTGGGTCTGGGCAAACCACTCCTCATCCCTGCCGGTCTGGTGAGAGTTGTACTGTTAATACTGCTGGCAGGGCTGGGCAGGCCTGAGCTCTGGGCTGCGAGAGGCCCCGGAGAAGAACTGCTGTGCGTCAGCTGTGTGGCTTCTGGAGAGGCAACTGAGCCAGGTCCATGGTTACTAAATGCTTTCACTGGCTGTCGCAGAGCCAGGGGAGATGGTGCCGCAGGTGAGCGGAACTTACTTGAAGAAGGTACTGGAAAACAAAAATACAGACATTACTATCAGCTGAAGTTACAGTGTAACTGAAATGAAAAATGGGAAAATACTTTATGCGATTATACAAACGACATGGAATGTACAATGGAATACAGCCAATCAAGCAGCAATGAGAAACAGGAATTCAGATGTCCTCTTTGTCATGTTTTTGATATAGTAACCCTAATGCCCTGCTTGGTTACTACAAATACTTATTTTTCTGCATTGTACACAATGCTAATAAGGCTCTGTTGCATCAGTCGAGTCGAAAAAAACAGAGGAGAATGAATAATAAGTTAATAAGAAATTTAACTACTTCAGAAACATGTGAACTTGATTTCCATCCCTGAAATAACATGTTGAAGAAAACAGTATTCTAGTGTGAGACAGTCTTTAAATGGACTCAAAGTGCATATTAGCTTTCAATGATGTAATTTTGAGTGCAGAGCCTCTTGGTGTTTCTTTTATGCTGTTTCTTTTTAAGCACTGAATTAGAAGTCACCTAAAGATACAGTCACATCACAGATTTTCTGGCTGATGGAAGAAAAGCATAGGGTCAGCTGTCCTGGTTTCAGCTGGTATATAGTTACTTTTCTTCTCAGCAGCTGGTACAGTGCTGTGGTTTGGATTTAGGACGACAGTAGCCAACCCCCAACACCAAAGAGGTTAAGGTGCTGCTATGAAACTTAAACCAGACAACTCTAACAATTTACAGCCTTCCTCTTCTTACAAACATCACCTAAATTATCAGTATAACTAATACCTGTTTTCAAATACTTTGTATCTGAGTCTTGATATCAAGCCCTTTCTGGGAAAGGTTAATAAGCCAGAATACTCAACAGTCCTTTGACAATGCCAAACCTTAAGCATAATTCTTCACAACTATGCAAAATACTTTCAAATTATGCACAATGTATCACTAAGCAGAATACTTAAATTAACCCATCATCTTACTAATTAAATGAAATTCACCAGGTTTTCAAGCTGATTAGGATGTGTCAGTAACAGTCAATAAAGGACAATCGAGTCAATCACAGAACTAAAACAAAATCACACTTACATTTAGTAAATTTGCATGAACTTTTTTTTTCTTCAACTAAATAAACATCCTGTACAGAGATTGTTGCATCCTCTTTGACAGATGCTCTATTATAAAGAAGATGGCCCTTGACATAGCTTTTATTATCATTTCACAAGGTAGATCCACTAAGAACATGAGGAGTGAGAGAAAAGAGGAGTAATGACAGCAATGTGGCATCCTAAATGGGGTACAGAGGTAGTGGCAGATTTCAGGTTGTATTTCAAAGCTATTTCTTACAGGGGATACTAGGAAGATTAGTATGTGCCTCATTACAGATGTGAATTGGGTTTAATTCCTTTCTGGATTACCCAAGAAGGCCTTTCCACTGATAGCAATATCAAACACAGCATGAAGCTGCTCATGGGAAAAGCTGACAAAAAAATGTGGCAGAGAGGTACATGACAGTTGGTAAGTAGTGAGGAGAATAAGTAAAAAACCTTAAAATGAAAACCTTGGCATCAGGCCAGAGGATGGATTAAGGACAGCAATGGACAAGAATGGACAAGAAGAGCAGCAAAGTGCTCTTAGGCCTAAGATAGATTATGTATTAGAAGTTTCTAAAACATGACCTTGCCTGTAACATTGGAGCAATCAAATCTGCAGAATTTCCAAGTGATTCTACAATGTAAACATAGGGAGCTTTTATCCCTGAACTTCTCACTACAACACTTGGTTGGAGCACAAACACAGCACATGTTAACAACTACCAACAGAACACTGCTAATGTATAAAAGCTGAATCCAGCTTTGAGCCTCTTACAGGCCCAAGAGGGAAAAAGGTTTTTAGTTATGGAATATAAGGAAAGAGAAGTTGTAACTGAAGACAGTTTGCCACATTCCCAGTGAAAGTAAGCATCCAGTAAATTAGTCCTCTCCACTCTCTCTAGCTTTCTGCTGAGCATATCGTATCATGCTGCTAACTTGAGCTGTCAATTCATAAAACATTTCCTGTCAGCACAGCATTGCAGACATTGCTGAGAGCTGTATTCATTCTTGTACATAAAGGAAGGAATTGTCTTCCAGAGCAGTTCACATGATGCAGTCTGGCAAACTGCCTAGTAATTCTGCTCTACAGATAAAGAATTCTGTCTTAGAGCAGTTACGGATATTTATTAAACTCAGTTTGGTCTATTTGCAAGACAGAGTCACAGACTGAGGTACTGCCTCAGTCAAAGACTATTTGATAATTGTGTACCCAGTGTGCAGAATTGAGCTGATCCCTGTTTAATAAACACGTGTAAACATGTAAAGGGTAGACCTTAGTAACTTTACACAACTCCATCTCCTCGAAACTAAACTAGAACCAACTACAATTAAAACATCTGGCAACAACAACAAAAAAGACACTGTGCAGTCCTGACACGCAGATTTCCCACCCTCTCTGTCCTGGATTGTGGGCAGGGAGCACAAGGATCTCCATGTGGCAAAGTAGGATGCTGCAAAGCTACAGCCTTACCAGGCTTGCACCCCAAGGCCAGTGGCTGCACACCAACTTGAAAACCGATGAAATTCTACTGCAGCTTTTAAGTTACAACCATCATGAGATAATTCAGATCAACCCGGAAGAACAGATGAAGTAAAACTATGCGAATCGATAAACTGATCTGCTATCTCAGTACAGGAAAAACATGGACCAGCTGGAGCAGGTCTGGAGGAGGGATGAGCACCCCTCCTATGAAGACAGACAGAGCTGGGGTTGTTCAGCCTGGACAAGTGAAGGCTCTAGGGAGACCTCAGTGCAGACTTTCAGTACTTGTAAGAAAGGTGGGGACAGACTTTAGTGGGGCCTGTAGCAATAGAACAGGGGGTAATAGTTTCAGACTAAAAGAGGGTAGATTCAGACTAGATGTAAGGAAGAAATTCCTTACTGTGCTGGTGGTGAGGCATGGGAACAGGCTGCCCAGAGAGGTGGTGTCTGCCCCATTCCTGGAGTGTTCAAGCCCAGGTTGGATGGGGCTTTGAACAACCTGGTCTAGTTGCAGATGTCTCTGCTCATTGCAGGGGGGTCTGATCAGATGACCCAAACCATTCTACAATCTGACTGATACTGGACTGCTGTATAAACCTGAACAAATCTGTTACTGTGAGGTAAGAGTTAGCTACCTGAATGTATTTTGAATTTTTTTACACAAAGTATTTAAAAAAAAAAAGCCAGCATCTGTGTGAAAGGTGCCGAGCTATGTAATGAACAGTATTTTAAGAAGCCAAAATAAGTGGTTGCTCAGTTGTTCAATTCTTCTGAAACAAAAGTCTTGTTTCATTACTGCATAATATTTCTATACTCATAAGGATCTCAGATCAGAATAAAGAAGATCAACACATCAGGGAATATCAAATGTGAAGTAAGTGAAAAGGACATAAAGCAAACAACTGGAAGGATCCTCATTTGCAGTCAGGAATGACAGCAGCTATGAACTGAAATATGTAACTGGCCGTGCAACATGCTCTATTCCTCATTCTCTAAGGTTGAATAAAATTTTACAAAGAATATAAACTTAAACAAAAGTTAATTTCTGTACATTCCCACAGCTTCAGACTAGGCCATTGACCTATTAAGTGTTCCAGGCATCCAGATGAAGGTATGGCCAACTGGAAGGAAAGCACAGAAAGCTCTGCAGAGGAATTGAGTCTTATGCCAGAGCAGAACACTGTGAGAACTTTTCTCTATGTGGTATGAAATATTATGAAAACTGTTAGAGACTTCCTATTAAGCCACGTGAATCTGTTTCACAGTCATCATACTTTGCTAGAACTTTCTGCATGGAATGAAGATGACTCAGAGAAGTGAGCACTGTGAAACCACTGAGAGCAACACATACATTGTGGGTCACCCTCAGTGCCTGCACAAAAGACTTACAGTGCTTAAAGGATTGCAGCATCTAGAGAACTTATGAACTGGTCTCAAGTGAAATATGATCTTTAAAATGAGATCTTCTGGCTTGCAATAGACAACACACCAACTACGCTTAAAACTAAAATCATAAACTTGTTTTATCTTAATTGTGAAACTGGGGCAGTGTCACATACAAGGCTGCCAGAGCTGATTAAAAATCAGTTCAAACTTGTCTAATTGGATTAGAGACTCAATATATTTCATTTTCTTTTCTAGAAGCCAAGTTCAGCCATTACCAAACTGGAATATTATATACAATTCCTTGAGGGGAAAAAGAATAAATCTAATTACGGTATGTTGGGATGAATTTTCCAGATTTGTGAAAAAAAAGAGAAAGCACAAGAACATGCAAAACAAGTTGCTATTCTATGCTCATCTTTTCAAGGATAAACTTGTTAGCTTTTGTTTCCAGCACGAAGGATGATACTTTCACTTGTATTCATATTTTTACAGCTTCTGTTTTAAAAACTGTATTCTGCAATTAAAAAAAATCCTATCCAAATGTGTCCCTAATGAATATGGATTTAGGAGGCTACTCTTCTAAACCTGATTTTCTGAGTAATGCTAGAAAGTCACTGATCCTTGGATTTTTATCTCAAAATCCAATCTCCTATATAATGCAGTTTTATTTCTAATACTTAGACCAAAAAGTTAACTTTCATAAAGCAAGGACCACTTGGTTAATCTCAACATGCAACAGCAATTCTATTAATCTAGAACATGTGAGACTTAATGCAGGCTACAATTATCTGAGATTTGCTGGAGCTTGATAAGAGGTTGTAAGTTAATTACCTCCTTTTGTAGATGGAGTTTGAAGAAACTGTTTGGTTTTGAAGGCAGCACGAGGCAAATTTTTCTGCCTTTGCAGAGCTGTTGAAAGACAAGAAGTGTTATATTTGTCTAAGAAGATAAGAAAACTAAATTTACTGGGAATTTCAGAATTGCATCCACTTCTGAAGCATGAAGGAACCAAGTGAGTAAAACACTCATAAGGTGTTATGACTCTGGAACAGATGAGGTTTTGTAAATGGCACTTGCTCTTAATGGCAAAGAGGTACAGAGGAGTGTGTCAGATTTTGCAGTGCAAAATGCGCAGATTTGGTAAGAGTAAAGCTTCTTGCAGGGCAAAAAGCCCAGAAATGCAAAAAAAATAAAATTAATACACCAAAGGGAGAACAAGCCACCTAGCAAACATGCTACAGCAGTATGAGTGCAAGATTAGATACAAAGATGAAAATTAAACTGTCCCATTTGACCTCGCATGACTAAACTTTTCCTTTTAAAGGTGTTCTCAAACCTTTTTCTAACACTACACAAAAACATAAATCTTTGTCTACGTGTGATCATCATATAAACAAATTGTACTTTTCAGTTATGGAGACATAAGTCATTTTGAGAGATGCCTTTTTTTTCCTCTTCAAAAGGGTTTGCAAGAGGGCTCAAACTTAAAATGAAGATTTAACACTAAGAATTATCAGCTGGCAGTACGTACACAGCACGACAGAAATGGATTTTTATTGCTCCTTTGCTCCTACGTCCTGCCTTTTCTCTAGTAATAATGTTCAAGGGCTGGTAGCACTTTGAAATGACCTCACTACCTACCAGCTAGCAAGAGAGAAGCCAGTTTTCCAAGAGCTGCAGAATCCTGGCATGGAGAGAATTACCTACTGCCAGCAGGAACGCATCGACTCAGCCTATTTTCACCACAGATATTTAAGGGGGGAAGGAGGAAAGCAGTCAATGAAGTTTTCACCACAGATATTTAAGGGGGGAAAGCAGTCAATGAAATAAAGCTTTGCCTACACATAGGCTTCATAAAAGGATAAGGCATGAATAAACATCTCTGCTCACCTCAGTGCTTGGAGTTTTACACCAGCATAAAACTGACTGCACTGGCAAGGCTTATTTCCATAATGAGAAGGAAGAAAAATGAGGGAACAGCTGTGCATAAAGACCCTGACCCTGAGGAGTCAATATTCCTATCACCAATTGGTAAATATTGCTATAAAGAAGGTAGGGGAAGAACAGAGAGAAGCCTAATAGTATTAGCTAATCCTTTTCTAAACTCGATAGCATCTAATGATTGCCATCAACTTTCCTATCTTTCAGTCAGTGCAAAATTCACAGGATTTTATGAACTATAAAAGTTCATCATGTGTTTTAACATCATGCTGAAAATATGGCTAAGGGGTCTGTTCATTTTAGTCTTAATAACTAAAACTGTCATTTTCAACAAACAGCAAAAAGGAATTAGTGTTCATAAGTAAACACAATAAAATGCTGCCTGTGCCTATTAAGAATAAATCCCCTGTTCTTTCTACCAGTTAGAATATAATACAAAATAGCACGTGGCAATATGCAATTCTTATTCAACTTCTGGCACATGGTCTTGCTAGAAACTTTTAAAAGACATACCCAGGAACAGCCAATTAAGCACAGTAAGATCTTTTAAAATGAGCACAATTCCTAGAAATTTACTGAGGTCAGAGTGTTTCAGTCCTCAAGTATTCCACTAAGCCATTTTTTACTGAATCAGTGTTTCTGTTATACCACACAAAATGAAAAACAGCTTCTTCCTTCACATTTGGAATTTAGTTTGCCCTAATTCACTCCGATTTAAGTAAGCTACTGCACATGGCACTAACTTTCTTCCCCCATCATTAATCACACTTGCAAGTTAGAGATATGGGATGACATGGAAAGGATTTAAAATACGTATGTATCAAATTCCTTCCTTCTCAATGGAGACTCCAGGAAATAGACTCTCAACAGCTAAACACTTCTGTGCACAGAATCACTGAAAAGAACTTCAGGCAGTACAACTTGAGCAATGCTGAGAAAACATGCAGTTTGAGCTCAGCATAGAGTGCATGCTCATCCACACTACTTGCTCCTCTCCAAGTGCTCCATGTGCTGCTACATTACCTGTCACAAATGGTGTGTGCTGAATATCTGTAGTTACATTTACTTCTGAGCAACTGAACTTGGTTTCCTCAAAACAAACTTCCTTCTTTTACTCTGAACATGGCAAGCAGCTGGATCTTAGCAGACTAGTTACTTCATTGATAGTCTGAACAATCTACAGCTTTGAAAAAGTATTATATGTATCTCTGCTTAAAGACTTAACATCCATGTGCTCATAGTGCCACTAAGTAGAAGAGTATCACACACAATCCACTAGAAATCATGTAGCTGCTACATGAAAGCCACCATACAAATTCTACAGCTTTGCACAATCTGTGTGGTGTAGGACCCATATACAGAGACTTTCTGTCACTAACACTTCAGACAGTATCTGCTCCTTGGGGAACACAAGTATTACATATTTTCAAGTGTCTTAAGGTGAAATATTTACTAGCTTTTATATTAGAAAAGTAGTTTCTGGCTAACAGCATAGAGAATCAGATGTAAATGAAGATTCTAATAGCTACAACTCATTTCATTCACTCAATCTCTTTTCAAAACCAATTTGGATTGTTCATCACATTGCAAATAAAACTTAAAATGCCAAATGTTTTCATGTTTTACACTTGCACCTCTAAGCATATTATACGTGTCTTCTCTCTCCTCTGCAAGCAAGCATGTACAATTTGCCTATATTAACATAAGAGGAATGGTCTTTTCAGAAACTCACTGGATTCCTAGCTCATTTTTGAATGCCAGCAACCATAGCAAGTTCAGTATTGCAGCCACAGCCAATGTGCAAGTAAATTATGAACTGCAGATCTTTGCCAAGGAGAAAGGTAGTGACCTCGGGTGCCAAGCCAGCGTCCTTGCAAAGGGAAGCTCATGCAAAACTAGCAGGTGTATGAGGAAGCTTCAAATCCCAAGACCCAGAAATCATTGCCAAGGGAAAACAAAAATTTGCTGCAATTTAACAGTGCTTTGTGCAAGGTGACAAAATATAAAACCAATAAAACAAAAAAAAAATACAATAAAAAGGACACAATTCTGGAAATTTTTATACAATGTACAGTTTTGCAGAAAATTTTTTAATCCAGACTAAGCAAAGATACTTACTCATTGACTTCATACACAAACCGTTTTACGATTGTCAATAGCAAGACTCTGACAAACATCTGTAAGAGCAGGGAAACTGTAAAAGCTAGAAATCTGGGCTTTATTAATGATACTTAACTTACATTTAAGTGTAAGTTGGTCGAGTGGTTCACATTTGGGGAAATATTCCATGAAAGGCAAGCAAATTTACCTAATAATTTCTGTGATTCTTAATGCACTCACAAGTTGAAAAAGAACAAAGCAGTCACACCATTTTGGCTCCTGCAGTGAAGTAACTGACTAAAGACTGACTATTGAGACTTGTGCTATCTGATCTTGCCATAAAGTTTCACCACGAATGTACTTTTAATTCTGGAAATAGCCTTCTAGCTAACTAAGCTGCCCTCTGTGCTCTTACCTCCCCAGTTCACTCATTTTTCAAACACCAAATACAGTCTGTACAGATTTTTACTAAAAATATTTTTCCTTCATTTTCTTTCAGGTCATTTTGATTATTCTTCCCATCACAGAAATAGCACAGCTGGAGAGCTGCTGTCCAACTGCTCTGAGGGCTTTATACTTTGATAAGCCTCCTAACAGCTAACAGTCCTGCACTGGAACTGCACACAGGCCCTTTTGGTTGGAAATCTCACCTTCTGAGTGTTTGTGAGCAGTGAAAGAAAGGGGGCAAGGTGAAAAGATGCTGGGATAACCTACATGCACAATGGCAAACTCACAGTAACTTCTTTGACTACAGTATCACACACCTGGGACTGACTGTCCACACAACAATTACACCTGGTCTGAGTCACTACAAAGATAGAAATCTTGTAGTCTTTGGCATGGTCCTTATTCTGTATTTAACTGGATTTGGTAGCATTAACACCCAGTTTTTTAAGTTTTAAGAAGGCCAACTAGGTGTGCCAGTATGCCTTTACTGTTCAACGGGTTAAAAGAAAAATTAGTTTCGTTCACAAATATTATTTTACATTTCCTGTCAAATATTTAGATTACTGATGAACTTTTATCATAAAACTTTTATAGTTCAAAGCTCTACACATAATAATAGTCATAATGTGTTCTTCCTTTGAAAATGTCACACAAGGTTATTAAATTCAGAAACTTGTTTTAAAATAAAATGGTCAGGAAACATTTAAACAACAGGAACTGGCAATATTGACATATAGAGAAGCACTGAATATTTAAGGTTCATTTGCTTTGGCTTCTTTAAGGTCACCATTTTCAAGAGACTAGTGAGATTAGCAGCATTCTCATATCAGCAGTTGGACAAACTAGCAGGCACTGGTCCAGCAATGGGCTAATTTGTTTCATGAGAGGCTCATCCAAACCTTTTCTAGGAAGTAACTGACACTCACACAAGTAAATAAAATTGGCAACTGAATATATCATTTCCAGGTGTCAAAAAAAATGGAAGAAAACAAACTGCAAACGTGGTTAAATTTAAATGAATGTTTTCAGATCAGGTTTCACTAATTAAAACAAAAGCCATAAAACTCACCTAGGTACATTTTTTCAGAGCCTAGTGAGAAAACAGTTTCTGACATGTCCAACTACTGCATTTATACTCTTTACAGTACTTCTACATAGAATTTTAGGAAACTACGAACCACACCTTAATAAGAAACCAGACATTTTTTTAATACCAGACTTTGTGTACGAAAAAAAGCAGATTCACAGAGAATTGATTAAAAATCAAGATTAGCATCTCCAGTGTGGCATGCAATGTTTCACTTTGCCATGGAACTGGAATACAGCCAAGTACCATCACTTCATTCTGAAATTTATGCTGAAGTAGCACTAAAGGTACTTACTGGCTGAGGCTTGAGGTTGAATGCGAGGTATTCCTCCATTTGGCACTTGGAAGTTTGAGTCACTTCTGCTGTTTTTCACAGACTCAGCTTGGATGTTAGATGTCCTGGACAGGTTTGGAAGACTACGCCTTAGTTTTTCTGTGCAAAATAATACAAAGATACCACAACATGTAGTCTGATGCTGGACAAAGGTCAGGTAACACCATAGCTGAACCCCAAATCCAAGTGTTGCAAAATGTTAGGCACAGAAAACTACACTGCAATTTACAAGTGTATTTTGTCACATTAATTATTCTCAGATCTATCACATATAAAATATTTACATATCTAGAAAAGCAAGAATGTACATTTTCTACCTGTGATGAAAAAAGTCAACATATTGTGTTTTGAAATTGAAACATACCTGGATTATTATTCTCTGGGTTTTGTTGTACTATTATGGAAACAGAATACGCAAACCTGATTTGTAGTTTTGCACAGTTCTGGAATTATTTGCCTAGAAAGTTATTTATGACATAGAATGCTTACCTGAAGATTAAAAAGACACAGTTATTTAGGTGAATTTTGAAGACTCCCTAGTCCCATATCAGCACATTATACAACAAATAACAGCCACCCACTTGGAAAGAACCTCTTCATACACACAGCCTTCAAAATTACTGAAGTGTCCAGTTATGCTTCACCTTTCACATACGACCTGACTATCTATTCAACTAATACTGGGTTTTCAAGGGCCTTCTAAAATTTGTACCATTGCTCACAGGGTACAAAAAGATGCCATTAAGTATTTCTCAAGTCTAATGACATTCTGTCTATCTCCAACCCTTGCAGAGCTGGGTTGACATACTCAGGATAGAAAACTGCAGATGCCTTGGTGGGATGAGTGGCCAACCCAATTCTGCAGAGGGATGCAGAGAAGTATGCTAACCATGCACAAGCACTAAAGATGAAAGCAAAACTAAGTCTTCACGGGCTGAATGTTCCTCCAAGTATAATTCCTGCACTTAGCAGTTTCCATTGCTTTGCACTGCAGTTGGTACATTGTTGAACTCTGTAAACCAAATTTCCCTGTAACCATTCTAGACAAGCAAAAAAAAAAAATCACCCCAGAACAACTTTTTTTTGACTGCTGCTGTATCAATTCCAAATATCCAAGCAACATTCAAGTGCACAAAAACCACTGCAAGAGAATTCCCTGGAAGTGTTTCAGAAACACATGATTGCATGCTCTATTTTGATCCTCATAGGATGTAAGATATCAGCTTTTTCTACCTTGCCTCCCATGAGATATTTTAGTTGCAGCTCATCCACCATGCATTAAAACTTTCATGAAACCCCAGAAAAGAATGAGAAAGGAATTCTGAACTAAGTCACAATGCAACTGATTAGCTTTTGTGTTGCACATTTTCCTGGATACCTAAAATTTCCCCAAACCCCTATTACTAGTAAAGTGAATTCTTAATATCTCAATGTATATTCTTTCTAAATTTAAGATTTTATTTGCCAGATAACAAGTTGTTAAAATGGGAATACATCTGGGAAATTTCAGCCCAGCTGAAGGAGTTTCTGCCACACTGCTACTAAGAACAAGTACATTCAAGAAGGAAAATCATATTACATTACTTCATTCTATGCCATCATAGTAAAATTGCGTTGAGTTTACTATGCAGCAATTTGCACAGCTTTGAGATATCTAAAACACCCAACAAATGCATGACTTAAGTATTTTTAAGGGTATGTTCATGGTTAACAAGTTCAGTGTCTTGTGCTGCTTAAAGAAAGCATTCAGTCATCTCACAGAGTAGAAGGATGCATAAATTGCCTTGTTACTCTTACTCAACCACAGTTACTTTCCCCTCCATGTTATTCTGTTATCTGCAAGGCCTAACCCTCCTGGTGAACCAGTTTCTGTGTTTTATTTTAGTGCATTTGCCTGTCAAAGACAGACCTTTACCACCATGAAACTCAATTATCCTCAGAGTGACTGGGTAACGTCTAAAATAAATAGAAACCTATCAACTCATGTGACTGTAAGGGTGCCCCAGCAGAACTTAAGCTTTGCTTGCTCTGCTTTTACTTCAACAACTTGGGAGATTAAACCACAATGTTACACAGGCAAACAGTTTTAGTACTGCCCACTGACCAAACTGCTTTACAGACACTACATGACTATTTGTGCAATGAATTTGAGACCGAGCTTTTTACCTTCACTTTTGACATTACTAGTCTGCAAGTCTGCAGGATGGCCTTGAAGCGAAAGACGAGGCTGCTGTAAACGGCTGATCATGGGTTGTGGTGACACTCTGCTGTATTCTATGCTCCGAGCAGGTGATCGAGAGCGAGGTGAATTTCTTGGAGACTGTTTTGGTGAAGGCCAGGGAGAACTGCGAGGTGATGGTGAGAACCTGCTGACAGCAGGGTGCACTGTGTGATGTGTGCCATCTTCTTCATCTTCTAAACTCTGCGCATCGAGCTCCTGATCGCTGAACGTGCCGCGCCTCGTGGAATTGCAAGAGGAGCCAGAACTACGCCGAGAAGCAGTTGCTGCATACTCTTGCCGGAGGCCTGGCAATGGTGAGAACATGGTTTACTTGCTTCCAGCCCACAAATGGTTCAAGCTAGACACAGAGCATACCAATATCTACTTCTATCCAGTTCTCAAACTCCAATTTGCTTCACCTTAACTCCTAATATTTTAGGCATCAAATGAATTCAGATTAGCACCAAAAAGTTACCGAGCAGCTAATAATAACTCGAAATTAGTAGGTGAGCTCATTCCTCATCAGCATAGGTGTGTTGTGTACTTCACTTGTTCATCTCCTCTCCCAGGCTAGATGCTAGCAACACGGGCTACACTTTCATTTTGGTACCATGTAATATCCTATTCACAATTATAGCAGCCACAATGAAATGCCTCTTGCCATGTATCAGTAAATGTAACCAAAAAAGCAACACGCTAAGATACCTCTAAAGAAACTGGAGCTGTTAGACCAGCGGTGTCCGAAGTGGGGTGCCCACACCCCAAGGGGTACACAAAACAATCCACTAGCATATAAAAAGAAAATTTTGTGCAACTAGTATTTTAAATACCGGATTTATTTCATCTTTATCTCATCCTTTTTTAATTTAGAATTTTGTGCACATTTGTGTATTTTTGTGTATGTTGTGTATTAGAGTAGCATTGACATATACTTTATTAAAAAATACATTAATTGGGCATTTGGGTTTGGTTTTTTTCACTGATAAGGATACCTAATAAAATAGTCTGGAGACCACCTAGTTAGACAACTGAAATTACTACCACTTCTGCAGACTCAGAGGGATAAAAAAACCCAGTCTCAACTAAGTTTTCATATAAGAGAGACATCTACATAGGTGCTTAACTATTCTTTGTCATATTGACTTTACATTTTGGCCACTTAAATTGCAGTTTAAGCACCGATGTCAACAAGACTGGATTACACTGGGAGGGAATATATCTCCTGAGAAGAAAGGTGGCAGGCAGTCACCCAGCCTAATGACCATCCTTTTAGCAAATACGGTATCTTACAAATTCATACTCTCCAGCATTTTTTGTCCACTGTTCCTAAAGAACACTTCTGCAGAGCAACTTACTTCTCTTAGCCTGGAAGCTGAAGTCCTTAACCAGCTTATTTGGGTGAATTA